TGCATGGAGCACTGGGTGTTATGCACAAACAATGAATCATGGAACACTTCATCTAAAACTAATGATGTAATGTATGGTGATTAACATAACATAATTAAAAAGAAAAGAATTGCCCTTATAAAGGACCCACGTCTCCTACAGAGAAAACATTAAACAATTTTTAAAAGTGAAATTTAAAATGGTATTTATCTTGTTTCCTTCCACCTCCCCTTTTTCTCAAAGAACCTCCTGATGACCTTTTCTCATCCTACTTTTGAGGTCTGAGCATGTGGCCTTTCCAGATACCCTTATTACCCTTACTCAGAATTTTTCTATCCTTTCTCTAAACTCCCCCAAAAAGTGAACTCCTGGGACGGGGGCAGGAGCCGAGTCTCACTCAGGTCAATGCCCACCACACTTGAGCAGCCCGTGACATCTGCAGTAGGGTGCATGAACGGTGTGAAGGGAAGGGTGGATCTTCTAATATCTTGTTCATGTATCATTTGCCATTTTCTCATATGTATTAGATTGATGTCCTAGTGCGTGTAGATTACAATGGCTATCCCTCCTTGTCTTGTCTTTTCTGGCAAATTCAAAATATTTTAGACCCACTTCAAATGGCACCATCTCCAGGAGGTTGGTTCTGTCTTTCCTAGGATAAAGAAGTATTCTGCACTCCCGGGGCACCCATTTTACATGTGTGTACATGTTGACTTGTTGCTGTATGCGTTACTTCTGTCAATATCTAGGTGTCCTTCAGTGGACATGAGCTCCCCAAGTGCAGCCACCATGGTGCTCCCAGCTGCCTCTAACTCTAGGACGGGGCCCATAGCTGAACATGCAGGGATCCCACTGTAGAAGTGCCAAGTGAAAGGAAGCCCTGCAGGCCACAGGGTGTTCAGAGGCCACTTCCGGTGTTTGGTCGTACATCCAGTGAGCAGACAAGGGCTACAGCTTCATCTCCCAAAGGAGGCCGTGGGGCTGGATGAGGTCCTCCTGTCCACATCACCTTCTGTAATCACATTTAGGCTGTCTTGTCCATTTCCTCGTTAATAGGGCAGTGATCAGCCATCAAAATGTAGCTTATCTTTTGAACCTGGAAGGCCAGTATTACGTTGACAGTGATAAGGTTATGGAGGGAAAATAATTTGGATGGCTTGAGAAATTAGGCCAATGTGACCTAGCCATTGTGTGATACATATTGCTTCTGCTTCTGAGTTCTGTCATGTAATTTGCAAAACAAGTCTAGAAAGTTTCTGTTTTATTGCTTATTTTGTTGTTAATTCTACAAAACAAGAAGGTTGAAGGAATTATTGGAGACCATTGATCATTTTTTAAAAAAGATTTTATTTATTTGAGAGAGAGAGCATGAGCGGGGTGAGGGGCAGAGGGAGAAGCGGACTCCATCCCAGGACCCCGGGATCATGACCTGAGCTGGAGACAGATGCTTAAGGGGCTGAGCCACCCAGGCATCCAGACCATTGATCATTTATTGTGTTATACTCAACGTACTCTTCAGTACTTTCTATATGTTATTTTATTTAATCCTTACAGCAACTCTATGAAGTGGGTCTTAATTTCTCCCATTTTGCAAATGAGAAAAGAGCAGCTTAAGCAACACAGCGAGCCTGTGTAACTTTTCCTCCCTTCTCTTCGTTCATAGGTGGCAAAGCTGAAATTTCAATCAGATCTCTTAATAACAAAATCTTTGTTCC